GGTGTAGCGTCCAAGACGATTTCCGCATTCAATCCGCTGGCTGCTCAGGAATTGTGATCAGGGGATCTCCTAATCATCCATTTCCGTGTTGCAAGTATACCTGGAAGCTTTCCTTGACACTCGCAAGTCCCCGGAAATTCCCGAGCCTCCCAACGCCCGCTCGACATCCTTCTGCATAGCGCTGTCCTAAGCTGGCTCTATGGGAGGTTCCAGACAAGGACTCACCCTCCGCTTTGGAAAATCGGCTCTATGCAACAATTCGCAACAGCGCCCTTGACACGGGAAGGGCTTCAACCTCTGGTGCGGTTCTCTCAAAGATAGATCACAGGCTAAACCAGCATGGGAACAAGAATCGTTCGCCAAGTTAAGGCCCGGTGTTGGGCCAGATCTGACGGCTTGTGGCTCTTGGGGAAAGTCAGCTAGTTGCGCGTGGTGCTTAGGGTTTTGGGTTTAGGGTTTATGTAGGGATGATAGGGTATATACGGAGGTTATATAGGGATAATGGAAAAGAAAATGGAGGCCGCTATAATGATTACTATAATGTGTGTTCAATCTATCCCCATGGTATGAAGCGCCATCCCTTCCCCCTCCCTAGGCCCTAGTTCATGTACTGACTGCCGGAGTGATTCTTAGGTGGCTATCTATCTCGGACAGGGACATCAACACACAAAACATGGAATACACTGGAAAACGCGTTTAGCCTTCCCCTAGCCTGTCCAATGATCCTCTTTGGGCAATCTTCCGAAAGTTGTAAAACCCCAAACCCTAAGTCTGTTCTAAGTCTGTTCAACCCGCGTTTCGGCTCATTAGGGCTCAAGATGGTTGCCATGAGCCTCGGGGGACTATAGGGGTATTATATAGGGGTTATATAGAGATAATGGAAAGGAAAATGGAAACTACTATATTATTGGGGCTATAGAGAGGGACTATAAAGGGAACAGGCTTTCAGGCTCAGGGTCGGCGTTCGCTGCATCGTTAAGGGCACAGCTACATGCTTCCAGTTGTGTGATCTGCGCGCCTGCCTTTAGTAGGTGGCCGTTAGACTCTGTAGAACCAAAATCATGGGCATCATGCTTTGCTAGCACCAAGGTTGGATCATGCCTGGCTCGCCCTTTCAGCAACATTGTATTTGAACATTTTCCCTCAACCCCAAACCCTGAACGGTACTGGCAACCCCCCAAAAAAAACAAGGCGCCTACTGGATGACTCACCATGGGCTGGCTTACTTCTAAGTGGTGATGCTAGAACATATCGGGATTGCGCAGGCTGTCGGGTTGAGCCAGCCTCAGCCGCCTCCGAACCCTCAAAGGCCTGATGCACTTGTCTCAGAACCCTAATGCTCAAAACCCCAAGCACCTGCGTTGAGGCATGGATGCATGCTTTCACTTTACTGTGGCCAAGCTTTTCAAAGAGACGTCCTGCTAGTTCCAGCAAGAGGAAGTTGACATCTTCCATGACGAGGTGGTAGGTGAATAATCTTGCCAACAATCGTAGTACTAATAATGCTGCTTACTAGCAACAATAATACCCAATCGCGATGATAAAGAAATGAATTTTGCTTGTCATACTCATAACTAGTAGTACAAGTACTAGTAATAACATCCGCCCGTCAGGCGGTGTTGAGAGGCAGGTGGGGCAAACAAGCTTTGCTGATGCTTTCATGACCCAGAATTCTGATGAAGTCCACACCGCCAAAAGGCCAAACGTACCATTTGAAGCCTACACCACAAGTTGGTCAGGGCACTAAAGTGCCCTTGTCCGTCCAGTTCTTCCGGACAGTCCTTAGCTTGGCGCTTTGATGCCTGGTTGGTAGAAGGGGAGGAAGCATAGGAAAAGAACTAGCAAACTACCACATATCGCAGAAGTATAGATAGGCTACAAAAGGGTACAAACAAACAGCAAGTCAAGGAGGGGTTGTCCCGGGTTGGATGTAACACGACGCATATACCCTAAGCCCTAGGCCGAGAGTGTCCGGGGGTCGAGGATGTACAGCTAGACTATTATAATTGCTGCGCTGATCTCACGCCCCTTCTTGTAAACTATCCCCACCCCCGTAACAGTACACACCCCCAACTGACTCCCAACTGTTTGTGGTATCATGCCATACTTTTGGACTTGTTTAGTATTTTCGCCCTAACTGATGTGACACGGCTCGCTGTATCTAGTTCCAAGCCAATGTTTGACTGTCCTCTTCAATGCGTTTCGGCTTTGTGGTCCTGACAGAATCCAGATTTTTCCCTTTGAAACGATCCCCAGAACCCTCAGAACCATGCGCGCCTTATCGGGGACGCAAATTTTGAATCTTCTGGCCGCCATTTTTGGGATGCAACCCCAAGACCAAAAAAGGTCCAACAACAGCGAGCAATATCTAATAAAAAGAAGGTGGGTGATTTTCGAAATAATACCCTAAACCCTAGACCCTAGACCTCAAACCCTAAACCCCAAGTCGAGGACGTATCAAGAGGCCCTAGCTCTGCTTCCAAAGCCTCCAGAGCCGTTAGCTCTGCACACTATAGTCCCCCTTAGGTAGATAGAGTATGGGGTTTATGTTGGGATAATGGAAAAGAAAATGAAAACTACGATCGAGGGTTTAGGGTCCCCCTTAAGTAGATAGAATATGGGTTAGAATCCCCTAGCATCCCCCTATGATGAAGAATCAAATGGACAAAAACACGGAAAATTAAATGGAAACTAGTGGCATATAGGCCCCCTTAAATAGATAGATCATGGCTTTGGGTATAAAACTCCCATATATCCCATATTCTATCTAATTTAAGGGGGACTATAAGCCATGACAATCACGAACCCTAACACGTACATCTAAGCATCTAATCCAAGGGCTCCAAGTACCTATATGTAGGGATATGCCTGGGCCCAAAGTATCTACCTATCTGCCTATAGGTTGCATATGGCCCGCTGGAGTTCGCGGATGCTGTAACTACAGCAATATCACGTTCCACCCTCCCCCCCTCACCCCCGAAGGAAAAAAAAAATCAACTTCCCGGCGTCGGGGGCGAGTCAGGTGCTGCCAGCGTGGTGGCATCGCCTCGGGTTTAGGGTTGACCTGTACTGGGTTGCTGTTAAGGATCTCAAGTTAAGTTACCAAAAGTATAGGTATAGGTATAGTCAACAGTAGGGTTTCCTTATCATAGTAAGCTAAGTTAAGGTCTTTAACAGCAACCCAGTGAGTGGTTTCGGGACAGCCACGTTAGAGGTGGGATGACAGTAGCTACAACCGTGTGAGCGTTTGGGGAGGGTGGTCATAATCTCATGATGGGCCTTCCAATACAAGCCCACTGATAACGGCTCATGAAACTTCAGCTGGTTCATTCTTGGGATATCATACAAATTGTGAGACTTATGCCCTGTATTGGGATCCAGCTTGAAGCACAACAGTTTCCGCCGTGTCCAGTAGGGCCATTGCCAGCTGTTTGGCTGGAACCCTGCATCAGTTCGTGGACAGCGGAGCCATTGGCACGGTTTAGAGCTTAGGGGTCGTGGACCTGCTGGACCGGACAACGGTAAACTTGCGCGCGCTGACTTCATCTCCACCGTCTGTCAAACCATGCATGGGCCCGAGTTTGTGCGTTCGCGGCAAAATTTCTCACTGTCTGGAGCTTCAAAATCCATCAGCTGAGCAGAAGGCCTCCTAGAGAAGCTGATCTGGAGTTCTGGCACTACGACTTCTGGCTGAACTTCCGCCGAAGCATCTATACTACCAAGCCTTGCTGTTCTCATGGTGGAAACCACATAATGTACTATGCTTGAACGCCTTGCTTTCCTGCATGGGCATTCGTGAGCCTCTTCTAAATACCATCGTTGTTTCCATTCGCTTTTTTCAGTTCCCCTCAACGATGTACTCCCGTTAGCGGGAGCGAAGGCGCTCTAATAGGGAGGGAGGGAGGGAGAGGGAGAGGGGGAGAGAGAGAGAGAGAGATGTGTATGTGTATATACATATATAAACATATAGATATTCAAGTCGGTGTATATGTGGTTTCGGACTTAGGGTTTCCAAACGTTACCGGTCACTTTGTGGGGGTGCGAAAATATCAGGACTAGAGTACTCGGGGTCTGAGTCGGGGTCCCTCAGTGCATGAAAACTACCACATCCAAACCTAAACCCTAACCCCTACCCATGCGTCTGGTAGTTTCCTTTTGCTTGCCCATCCCTAAAATAGTAGTTCCTCTCAACAATGGGACCCACTTTTGACCCAAATACCATGATCCTTATTATAGGAACCCCCAAAATGATGCCCTTACTTTTGGCCAACTCCCATAAACACACCCAAGCTCATGGTACTTTCCATTTACTTGTCCATTCTTTCATTTGCCGAAGTTGTCCAGCGCGAACGAGGACGGCCATTGCAACAGTGCAGGAAGCAGTGAGTGCGCGCAGCGGGTTCGGTGCTTGGAGATGCAGAGTCGTCCTGTGTGTGGTTGACGAATGCATGGGAGGGCCCGAGGAATTTTGTACACCAAGTGGATGTTCATGCAAACGCGCCTTGAAACGTTCTGCCGCGCAAGATCACAGGATCCCCCGCATGGGTGTACAGTTTTGAGACTTTGCAATGCGGGTTCTTGACGATGACACTTGGGATCGGTGCTTCGATGCTCCTCATGATGGTGTTCAATGTCCTCTGGGGCACAACAGTCCAGCATCGACCCTGCAAATGTTGGTTAGGCAATTCTGTTACAAGAGCATAGCGTCATCCTTTGTGGAATTGACGAATATCATAATAAGATCCCCATATACCGCATGCTCTATCTGCTTAAGGGCGGCCATAGTTCATCACCCGATTATAGCTTGAAGGCGTTCCCAGCCTGGGCCCGATTTACATCAAACACAAATCCTAGGTCCTAGACCGTCACCTAATATCCCCAACCCCCGGGACCCAAAGCCATTTAACACCCCCAAAAACCTAAATATCTGAAGCACAGAACCCTGAACCCCGTATACCCCAAACCCTAGGCCACCCATGTTAAATCGCAGGGCCCGTGGCTAAACTCGATAATTGCTACGGCGCCCTCTGCTCTCTGCGGACCTCGGGGCGTGAGGTTCAGGTTTGGGTTTAGGGCTGCCAGAGGGCTTAGTGGTCTTCAACGACAGAACCAGAGAGACACTGGGTTGCTGTCAAAGAACTGAAATTAAGTTACGATAATGGGTATATATATATACAGAGAATATCTAATACGGTTTCCCCAATATAGTAACTTAAACCACGTTCCTTGACAGCAGCCCGGAGGAACGGAGGACACCCACAAACCAACAAGGCGTCAATGATCCTTTCGCAGACGGTAGAATTGAACCGCAGAAGCACGCGGTTTACTGTTTAGGGTGTTTCGAAGGCTACCAGTCGAAAATCAGGGTTGCTGTGGCTAAGGCGGGCTGCCGAAGCTGGATCATCGCTGAACTTGGTGCAGCCAAATACCAGACAATCCCACGACTTGAGTTGTTATTTCTCAGGGCTGGTGGCTGCTCCATGATATATGATGCAAGCAACCACTGAATCAACAACAGGTTTATCATAGTTCTTTACTGCTTCAAGCAATTGTGAACTCTCATAATTCTCCAAATGGCACCAATAAAGCAACCATGACATATACGCTTTTAGGAATTGCAAAGCGTTCCGCACGAGTGCAAGCATTTTCTCACGGTCCGTGTGCTCAAGAGCACTCTACGGGGTCCCATTTGGGCTGATATGTTACGGCACAGGAAAACAAAGTTGCTCTTGCACCTACATGATATGCAGTATGGAGATCTACATGCCTGGTTACTACTGAGTACTAACACAGAACAGTCACCTTGGCTATACAAGCACCGCACAAATGGGCCAATTTCACACCCATCTACTTACAAGTGACGTTACTGCCAGGGCGTCATGGGCTCTGGTATTCTCAGCAGATCTTCGGCATGATGTAGTCCGTCTCGATGGACGTAACACCTTAGGGAAGGTTCATACGCGTCCTCCTGGACGTCCTCGTTGGGAGTTTGCGCAGTATCGCCTGGACCGGCCTCCCTCACCTGAGTTGATGAGCCTGTTCTCGCTGTTGAGACTAACGCTCGTCCGCCTCCGGATCTTCGGCTGGAGCCAGCGCAGTGGTTGTAGGAGCGGTCTTTCGTGTCTATACCTGGCTTGGAGCCAGTACCCCATTTAAGAAAATGGTTTGTTTTCCACGACCCCTTCTACGTGCGGAGTCGGTGTGGCGGTTAGGCCTTTTTCTGTGAAGGTATTAGCTTCCGTACTCTGAGTTTTGGCTCCTTCCGCGATCGGCCCACGGGTTGGCCGATCTTACTTACTGACGAAAACTTGAGCACCTCAGCCATGTCCGCCTCGGGGTTGTACTTCTGCATCTTCGCCAGTCGCCCCATTCTGGGTAGAACCTGCCAACCCTGATGGGCGTATTGAGCCCGCCAACTCGCTGATGGCGGTGGGTAGCCAAGCTTTTGGGGTCAATGCCCCTGATTAAACACGTAGTAGCCGTAGACGTCTATCACGAGCGTCTCTCCGCTCTTTTCTGTTTCTGCGGTCCCGGTCCCGGAGTTCTTCGCCATGGCGCTTGTAAAAGTAATTGTTGTCGTAGCCGTACTTGTCGCCGTGGCCCCGGCGATCCCAGTCCTGCATCTCTCTGCAGTCATCTCGGCGAGCATCACGCCGATCATCACCATGATTGCATTCTCTGCGCGGCGTGATGGCTTGAGGGTTTTCAAAACCCTGGCCGCGAGTTACTGGGGTGTGCAACTGCTTGATGTGAACATGTGAGGCTGGTCTGGGGACCAGAATGGCTTGGGATGTCGTCGTGTTCTGGCGGTGAACTCCGCGTAGACGTTTGGGACCTCCAATCCATAGCGACGCGAGAGATGATTCTCTCTAGGGACTCACTCGTCGTTCTGAGTGTGGAGATCGTCCCTTTCTGGACAAGACACCTGTTCTTCCAACCCGCTAGCTCAGTTTCCAACGCTCGCACTCGAGCGTGCGCGCTGCACAGTTGCTCTTGGAGTTCTTCTTGCGGTGACGTCGGAGGCGTTGACGTCCACGAAGTAGCGCCCGCGTCTGATGACGCTCCAAGGCTCGTGCCTGCGCTCGATGGCGCTGTAGTTTTTAGGCTTGTTCGCCCTTGCTGTGGCCGTAGGTGTTGCTGTTGTTGGTGGGTCGGCCACTGCTGCTGTTGCGGTGTAGGCTCCCGGGAAGTGCTGGGCGGCACAGATGTAAACCCCATCCTCGTCCTCCCCCGTCATCGGAGGATTAGTGCTTGTGGTTGCCATGTATGCTGCTTTTGGCTGCGGGGGAGCTGTAGGCTCAGGGCACATTGGGTCTTCACCAAACTCGATACATTCCTCGGCCGCATGCGCAGGGGTTCCCTGCTGCCTAGGCTGATTCCTAGTGCGTGGATTTGTGGGAGGGTTCCAGGACCTGTTAGCCGAGTGTGGCCAGGACCTACTCTCGGGGTGAGATGCCCCTACTTCGCGGTCGCTCAACAGTTTCTCCCCCATGTGGACCTGAGCGTGATGCTGCATTAAGACGCGAGCATGTTCCGCGATAGTCTCGCTACGGGCAGCTGTTCTTACCATGAGCTGCTCCGGCCTAGATAGGCCTTTAGTTCAACGAGCAGGTTCGCTCTCATCGCATCAGATAATCTGACCTCAGGATCGAGCTCTTGGAGAGTGGTCCACCACCTCTTCCGGCGGTTTACGTATGAGAGCATACCTTCTCCCGCTTGTCGGGATAACGGGCCAGTGCGAACTTGTCCTTGTCGAAATAACTCACTGGCCTCCTGCCATCGGAGTGGGAACGCATGCTGCTTTACCATCTCGATGAGATGTTCTAAGCCGTCGTTCCGGCAAAGCCTTTCGAGACCGATGTCTCTGGCAATCAGGAGGGCTTCACCCCGAAGACCTTCCAACACCTTTTGGACCGCGTCGGCCATATCCATGTCGGGAACATGTGGCTCAGTGGCCTCGCGTGCTGAGACTCCATCATCGATCCCATCATCTGCAACGTCGATGGGCTCGACTTGTGGTTTGGACTTCCCCGGGGGATGCATGAGCTGAACTAGGCGAGGCAGGTAAGCTTCCCGTCTTGTGTGACGGTGCCCTCGATGGGGGCGGCGAAGAGGTCTTCGCTTCCTTCGCCGCTTCTCTGCGTACCTTCGCCTGATGCTGAAGTATCCGGGCTCGAGTCCTGAAAGCCCAATCATGGTACCCCGATGGCAATCCATCGTATATGTAACTTCCGCTTTTCGTGTCAAGAGGGTGGTGCAGAATCTAGTGCCTGGGCGCACTATAGAACCTCAGTCCGGAAGCCATGCCTGACGACATTGGGTTCGGGAAGTGGGAAAGGTTCGAATTTGCAGTATTGTCAGAGGCTTCGCCACCACGCTCACCACGGCGATAAGAGTATCGCTGCATCGTGGGAGATGCTCGCGGATCGCGTGCCGCAGGAGCGCGTATATGCCTTGGGGGTTGCGCTCCTAAACCTGGGGATACCAGTTATGAACTGCAAGTCGTTCCGCACGAATGCAAGCTTTTTCTCACAGGCCGTGTGCTCAAAAGCGCTCTATGGGGTCCCATTTCGGCCGACATGTTACGGTACAGAAAAACAAAGTTGCTCTTGCACCTACATGATATGCAGTACTGAGATCTACATGCCTGGTTACTACGGAGTACTAGCACAGAACAGTCACCTTGGCTATACAAGCACTGCACAAATGGGCCGATTTCACACTCTTCAAACCTTCATCCCTAAACCCTACGTTGAGTCTGCCAATCTGCTATTGTGGCCCTCTTGCAAGGTAGATTTTGGAATTTACCTTCAGCCCTATACACTACTGTACCTAAAGAATTGGGTTTAGGGCTCAGGGTTTAGGGATGCCTCAGGGGTCATATACTGTCAACTACTACTTTTTCGATGGCGGCATGCTTATTACCCCCAACTCCAACCCATGGCAAGAACAACAGGTGCCTCAGCCTACAGTCTAGGCATCGGCAAGATCCCGGCCCGGTTCCACAAGGTTTTAGGGTGCGGAGTGTAGAGCCCATATTCCCTGAATCACTCAAGGTTTTCTCGGAGCAATCACCACAAAACCCTCGGTACGCTTAGTAGAAACCTGCCATATAATTACAATCCCTTCGCAATCCCAACAAACCCCTAGGTCCCTAACGGCCACATCTTCTGAGAAACCAACCCTAAATCCTAAACCCCATTATATGCTATCAAATTATGTCAGAAAACCCTTACGTTGACGACCGGCGTCCTTCTATGGTTCATGAGGCTGTCTAGGATCTGCGTGTGTGCATATATATATATATGCATATATGCATATATGCGTATATGCATATACGTATATCTGTAGACACGTCTCGGTCATGCCAAATTCAAGCTACGAAGAACCAGCATCTAAGTTGAAGGAAGGTCGCCTGGATTCAAAAAGGAGGTGTCCAAGGTAAGTGTTCTTCCTCGACGTGTCTCACCGAACCATACATCTCCCCACGTAATGACTTGCTCGATGTCCCGTCCTATAAGCCTTGAAACCAAACTTGCGCCCAAAGAATGCGTACTTGGCTTGCCTCGCCCTAGACCCTAATCTGATAATCGTGAAACCCATCACAAAGCCTGGGCAGAACAGCGCCTGGCCTTCGTCAAAGTTTGCACCCATCCACTGGTAGGTCCTAATCAGCATTCAAGGTTCCCTAGCCCCAGAGCCCTGCACCTGTTTTGGAGGCATTGACCTGGACTTTGGATTCGCGTTCGGAAGGTTGGGGCCAGGTGGCTACTATGGGATCCATTTGGTGGTGCTCATGCGGGTATGTATCTTGATCTGAACCAGGCCCAGGTGCCATTTCACTTTGAAGTTCAGATCCCATGTGTGGCGCAGCTGCCCTCTTACCTGATTCGTTGGTGAGTGGGCTGTTTCTGAAGCACGGAGTTGTGGGCTCTCGTGGTCAAAGGAGCTTTGGGTGTTTTGCGCTCAGGATGTCAGGAGGTGACTTTACGGTTTGAGCCTTTGGCCGCTTCATTGGTAAGCTGCTCTTAAAAGAAGATGCTCCTGGACAGTGGTGGTGGTCCCGTGATTGTCTCATGCCCTTAGAACCTCAACGTGGATATTCAAAATGAAATGAACACCTCTATGCCAGAATCTAGAGCGTTGACATCTTTCAGTCAGGGAATGTCCTCAAAGGGGTGTCCCCTTTGCTAACCTAACAAAACAATGAATGGATCCTCATTGTGAGGAACCCACATGAAGTGAACCTACAATGTATGGAACCTTCAAAACTAAATCCCAAACTCCGTGCGCTGTCTACATAGCCCCGGAGCACCTGTAAACGGGGCGTGGGCCAAGGCACCCTGAATGTGGAGGATTCGCCTTCGACCTTCTCCACTGTGGCCACAGACAGAACTCCATTCCCAACCTACAGGATGACTTTAGGGTTTAGGATTTGGGGTTTAGGGCTTAGGGGTTTAGGGTATAGGGTTTAGGGGTTTAGGGTTTAGGGTTTGGGGTTTGGGGTTTAGGGTGTGGGGTGAGGCTTGGAGCTTCTAGGGGATAGAGAATTGCCAAGGCCTTAGTTTTGGGAAGTGGGGTAGCTGCTCCCTAAAACCCAAGGCGTGGCTCATCCTGAAAGGGCGATGGTGCTACAGCTACACTAAATGCCTTCCAAGTTTGTGCAAGAGATGCAAAGGTTGGTAGTCTTAGGCTTGGAGGGCTTTTCTCCGTGGGGAAACGGATCTAATGGTCGCTAGGGTTTAGGGTTTATGGTTTTGTGATCTTTGGCTTAGGTATTTCGGGCAAGCGGGAGTTGTGGAGACTTAGGATCCGAATTTAGGTCTGACCATAAAACGGACGAACGTGCCCTACCCTGTAGGGCTTAGGGTTGAGGATTTGTGGGCATTGTAGGGCCAAGGCTCGCAAGCGTGTTCTCAAACTATAAGCCTCAACCTTCAATACTTGTTCAGCAGGCAACCTTCAGGCAGTTGTCCATTGAAGGGAGTTCTTGCAATTTCTTTCAAACATTACTTGCTGCCGAGAATTCCGAACTTCAAACAGGCACTCTACACATGGGTGCATCTGATATGTAATACAGATGCACGGATGATTACCAACATCACTTGCCCCCCCCCCCCGGCCCACACCGAAACCTTGTTCTAGTCAACTAGGCGGCCGTTTAGGCTTAGGGTTTAGGGTTTAGGGTTTAGGGTCAGACTCAAGGAGCAGGAACAACTAAGCCAATGTCACATCCTGATCTTAATCAAATCTACCAGCCTGAACAGAGACCAATCTCCTGATGTGTAAGCCTACAGTCCCCCTTAAGTAGATAGAATCTGGGGTATATGGGGAACTTATTATAATATTCCCAAAGCCATATTCTATCTACTTAAGGGGGACTATAATTGTCAAAATTGTACCGGCAGAACCTTTATAGCCCCCATTCCCTGTGCAATCCCTGTGCATCCCTGGAATCCTGTCTCGTAGTTTTGAGAAGGCCCCATGCGCAACCCTTGACCTCAAACTTTAACCCTCCTCGACTGGCGACCTTGACGCTACTTGCCTTTTGCAGGCCTCAGACGCCGAAGAGAATTTTGTGGTTCAGGGCTTGGGGGTTACAACCTCGAGGAAGTTTTCGTGTATACCTTAAACGTTAGCTGAAGAATTTAAATCAAAACCAGGGGGAAGGGGCAAGATCAAAGAATGTCCGATATGGTTTTGTGAGATTTACGGGATGCAGGTTCCTGGCTTATAGCAACAGCCCCCGACTGGTTGCTGCGATAAGAATTGAAGACTCAGGAACTTTCGAGTGCCCAGCAATCTGTGCGCCAAGCTGATGTTACGCGCGCACAGGTATGTGCACACCTCTAAACCCTTTCCTGAGCGGTGATTTCTAGATTTTGTAGAACAGATTGCTGCGCGAAATTGGCTTCTCAAAAGAGTTGCAAACGGTCCTTCTGGATGGTGTGGGCATAGGTGCTCTTGGTCACCGAGTGGATGCTGTTCGTTCGCGCAAGCAGTTAGGGATGAATGTTATTACCGCACTGGGGTATGATTGCTCCAGGTCAGTGCACGCAGTCGTGGATGAATGCTGGTCTGATTTAGGCATGATGCTCTGAATTATACAGCATGCAGTCAACATTTTACGGTTTGGGCATGGATGCTCTTTGTCAACCCGCGCAATCAGGGATGAAGTCTATCATTGCATGGGCATGGATGCTCTTAGCTGTGGGTTACTTACCTGGGGGTGAGCGATATTGCGGTCTGTGCATTGATGTTCCAAGAGGTCTGCGGTCACAAAATGTTGCATCGGCCTTGAATTGTGAAGCTTGCTGAAACGAATACTGTCTCTGAGGTGACCCCTTAGGATCGACATACTTCACCCACCAGGCCTCGAAACCCAAACAACTCTGAAAATACTGCCCCTGCCACGAGTGTCGCAGCACCTATAACCATTGCGAGGAGCGAGTGAACGTCTGGAGAGTCGTGCCGTAAGGGTCCAAGGACCCAAACAATAGGGCTTTCGGGCGCAAATACTATAATGTAAACGGTATTTGCGCATTAAAACTCCATTATTTGGGTCCCTGGACCCTAAACCCTAAACCCTACACCCCTTCACCCCATTATTTGGGCTCTAAAACTCCACAATTTGGGTCCCCTTCACCCTTATAGGGGTATACACCTCCAATGCCAAGACGTTTCATTCCGCGGAGCCCGCGAGGGCAGCTCAGCTGTGGCTCTTAAGCACACCCTATGTGGTTTAGGGTCGAGAGTTTAGGGTTTCAGAGTTTAGGGTTCAGGGCTTTAGGTTTAGGGTTTTTGGGTATTGGGTTTAGGGTTTTGCGGTTTAGGGTTTTAGTTTTTGGGGTTCCCTAGGGATCCAAGTATACAAACAAAACCAATGCTGGAGAATCAAATGGAAAAGAAAATGGAAAATGAAACGGAAACTGGGTATCAAGGGGCTATATAGAAGTATACAATTTTTACCAACATTGGGCTATTTGGATCCTTAGGGACAGTCCAGCCCTTAACCCCGATGCTCGCTACCCTAAGACAACGTAATGACCAACCCTTAAGACGGCTTCGGACATTATCCGCGTTTCTAGAAATCTCAAATGTTGTGATTGCGGCGTCCCGAGAGAACGAGACTCCAGGGGCCCCTCTCAATACCTTACGAAAATGTACCCCAGCTTACTTACACTTCCAACCATCTACGCCCTTAGTATCATCCCTACGCAAGACCCTATACGGCAAACCCATGAGCACTACGCCCCTACTCCACAGAGCTGGGGAAAACAACCAATGACGGACCTTACCGAGACTCAACTCTTCAAAAGCTCTCGTGCCAGTTCGCTGCAGTCTCCCTGAGACATCAGGGGTCTGGAAAACGCTTGGGAAGGTGTACTGTGTCTGGACCCCGCGGAGTGGGTTGCAGATAGGATTCCATTGTGGGTTTAGTGTGCAGATCTTCTGGTGGTTAGGCGGGAAGGGAAGGATGATCCCGCAAGTCATCCGCATATCATCCCATGTACCCGAAACCCATTCCTTCATTCCCTCAGAACTTACCCGCTAAGTAAACTTTGAGTGGCGGCATTCATGCCTGAAAGCGGGTGCCTCCCTCCAAGGATGTTGAAACCTCGACTTAAACTCCAAAGTCCTGCTTGGGATGCTGGTATTCCCACCCATCAGATCTCCGCACCTGGAAGGTAGAGTGCGCTGCCAATGTACCTACCATGTGGTGCATCCTAAACCTGCATCCCTGAACTCAAGGCCCCTCAACTATGCAGAGGCAACCCAAACCAGGAAGGTTGCAGAGCAAGTCCTCCTCCCCAAGCCCTAAATGCTGAACCTCCACTAAATCTCCAAACCCTAAACCTCAAGCCCTAAATCCCCTAACCCTAAACCCGAATCTCTAAACCATAATCCCTAAACCCTAAACCCCAATCCCTAAACCCTAATCCCTAAACCCTAATCCTTAAACCCTAAACCCTAATCCCTGAACCCTAAATCCCCAAACCCGAAGTCCTAAACCTAATCCGTCAGCCTCGGCATATGCAAAGCGATCCTTTTGATGCGAAGGCTTTTGCGCCTCGGCCTGTGCGGGGTACTTTCAGGTGCCGGCTTCGCAGCTTGAGAGTCCCCCTTAAGTAGATAGAATATGGGGATCTTATTATAATATACACAAAGCCATGTTCTGTCTACTTAAGGGGGACTATTTTAGGATTTAGCGCGTAAAGTCTTCCGTAAGCATACTAATCGAAAGCAATATGCTGAACCTTCAAATGACTCCTTTCACTCTGTACAGAAAAGAATATTGGAGGAAGACAGGTGAAGTGGAGAATTCGAGCAGGAGTTAAGAGTGGTAAGCTTTAAGTATAAACCTTCGTGTCGAGAGCAGGGGAGATAGGGGCGCTTTCCGCGTAGAGACGGAAGAGACTTTGGATGCAAGTTAGAACATACAGCAGTGTTCTGCTAGTATCGAAGTCGGGGCATTTTGAGCTCCTTTTTGTTTCAATCGTTGAAGCCCCTTGTGGTACTTAACCCCAACAGCCTATTCTGGTTCTTTAGGACCCCTGGGTGTTGGGATTGGGGCTGAAGGCTGGAGTTGTTTCAGGATTGTGTCAAGCGTTTAGGGCTTGGGGTTTTAAAGTTCATGCGTTCATGCCCGAGTCCCTGCGGGTGTTCCACATGCATCCTGAATCTGGGCTATCTTGAGTTCAGGAATGAGTAGACAGCCCTGCTCGTGGGGAACCCCCCCCCCCCCGCGCATTGTTTTCATACCTCTCACGCTTTCGACAAGTAGTCAGGGGTTATTTGGAAACATCTCCTTCCTGGATTTGCCAAACGTACCTCAACCAACCAGCCAGGAAGCCAGGAACAGTTCTGGTCCAGAGACGCAAGCAAGACTTCTAGGAAGCCCACGAAGTAAGGCACCTATGCTTTAAGAGCTACCCCTCTTGCGTTATTCCTGTGTAAGGCCCATAACATATTTCACTTGCTTTTCCTGATGTTCCTTGTGTCAAGCTTCAGGGCGAGATGTACTCCAGCAGCAGATGGCTCTTTCCTTCTTCCCGTTTTTTTGGAGAAAGCTTCTAATTAGTGCTAAACGCCACCCATCCGAATCCTAATCCTGGTGCCCCATCTAGCACCAAAGTTGATATTCCCCAGGATCAACCTGTTGCCCTTAACCATGAAGCCTTAGCTGGATTCTTCTCAGAATGCACCCTTAACCCTAAACCCTCCAAAATCCCATTGCAAGCTCCACATACCCCTAGGCCCCTAAGGGCTCCGGATCTTGGTTGGGAAAACGATCAAGGTAAGCTGACATGTCAGTTAGAAAAATTGTGTATCTTCAGACCATCTGTGCCATGAAGGAAAGCTACGGATGTCAGAACCCTGGGTCTAGCTGCGCATTTTCTGCATTCCTTGCCTAGTAGGGTGATTATAGCTTTTGCTAGGGCCTTGGTGGTACGGCGTTTGTTTTGTTCTGGTTGGGTGAGCCGCTGCATCTTGGTATCACCGCTGTAAGAACCACCTTTAACCTGCTCAACAAAGCGCGCTAGGCCAGGGCTTAGGGTTTAGTCATTCTTCAAACGTAGTTAGCTATTGCAGTTCTTCCAGAAGTAAAGAAGTCCCCCTACATTCTCCTTATACAACTCTTGGCCACTCTCAGTGTATGTGTAGAGGGAATATCGTGAGGCACGCAAAAAAGCCGATCAGTCCTGATTTCAGTGGTCTTTGCAGGGTTGGAGGCACCAAGCTAAACCCTAAACTGTAGTCTCCAGTGTGATCCACTGTGATTGCACCCGGTACCTGCCCTTGTCGTGATCTTAGTTAGAGTCAGCAGTTGGAGGCGTTGGGTGCCTGCTTTTTCTCGGCCATCCGGCTCTCCTCTTCGAATTGCACAGTTTTGCGGTCAGGGTGTTAGTGGCTGGGCTCATGGCTACATGAAGTGAGGTTTAAACCCACAGGCTACACTAGATTACACAATGGAACACTCTGCACATACCCGCACCTGATCCGCAAAACGAGACCATTTCACTCATCAAAGCCAGACGGCGTCCCTGCCTCCAATGTCTAAAACAAAAACACTTCCCATTGGTGGGTGCCTGAACAGTGCGCTCCGCTCCTGTTGTTCTTTTCATGGGCGGCATTCCCTTTTCAAGGTGCAGGCCTTCTGTCTCTGCCCTTCTGGCTTTACTGAAGCTTAACCATGGGGACGCTGAACTCCTAGATCAATCTAAGCATTGAAATTCCAGTTACTGGTCGTGTTGTTGCGAACAGCTTGGAAACACCAGGTGGTGGGTGAATTTGCGACTTGTCCCCAAACTTGTTCCACTTGCTAATTGAATAATTCCGCTAGGTACAATCCCTGACAGGGACCCGCTATCCCCCTTGCAAGCCCCTTGTATTCTGCAAGCGGGAAGTCCTTGTATGAGTTCTGGGTGTAGGGTTTAGGCCACAGCTTCCTGGCTTCCAAGCCCTGAACCCTAAAGGCCGTAGCTTTCAGTACTCTATCCAGCATATTGAAGCAAGACGTGAGGAAGCACACCACAACATCAGTCTATTGTCTGATTTGAAACCCGCTGCGGCCTGAAGACGCTAAATCCTTCCTCCTCAAGCAAAACACATGGCAGTGCTGGCGTCCTCCGCCTGCTTCTGCATTTCTTGAAGCATCTTCTGCTGCTCCTCCACGGCTCTTGCCTGAATCATGGCTCGAGCTTATCTTCGTGCATCATCCGAATCTGTGAGAAATGTAAGACTTTGGCTCAGAAGTGACCTCCTCCGCTGTTCCCTCGACGTGGGTTAAGGGATTCCTCACATCAAGTCTTAACCTGAGCCACATTTTTTCGAGGCTTCTGCAGCTTGCGCATGTGGAGCCCATGCCTTGTCAATAGTCTTACTATAGGTCCTATTTTCCAAAGGAGCACTACCCGACTGACCAGATAGCCTTTCAAGGCAAAGGAGGTTGTAGCCTTCGCCGCAGGAACGTGACTCAAACTCTAGGCTAGCTGGTCTGGAAAGCCCTCACATCATGGTGTAAGCAAAATACTATTCGAAAAGGCGGCGATCAAGGACCTGGATGCGAAATACCTACATGTATTGTACACATGCTACATTCAAAAACCATTAAACTTTTCAATCCTCCCTTTTCAAGATGAGATCCTGGAACCTGTCTGGTCGAGTTCATGAGGTCTTGTATGGCTGCAAAGCTTACTTGGGTGGGGTTTAGGGTTTAGGAAGGGAATGAGGGAATATAATCCCTATGTACTACATATATTCCCCTACTCCCTACTAAGCCCCAGTAAGAAAGGGGCAGGGCATGGACAGAAAAGGAACCCTACACCCTAAACCCTAGACCCTGAACCCTAAACCCGGAACCCTGAACCCTAAACCCTGAACCCTAAACCCTGAACCCTAAGCCCTGAACCCTAAGCTGTGTGTAAGGGTCACATCAAAGCTATTTGAATCCAGGCCTTGGGGTCCGGCTTGTCATCGTCCGAATCAACAAGCAGATCAAACCTCCGCAGAAACAACTTTAGGCTTGCGTTGTGTGGTCTAGGATTTAGTGCCTAGGGTTTAGGGGTTATAATGGGATACTAGGGTTTAGGGCTTAGGGTTTAGGATTTAGGGCCTCGGGTTTAGGGGTTACAAAGGGATAATAGGGTTCAGGGCTTAGGGTTTAGGCCTAGGGTTTAGGGGTTATAATGGGATAGTAAGGTTTAGGGCTTAGCGTTTAGGGTTCATAGGGCTTAGGCTTTAGGGCTGAGGGTGTAAGGTCCATGGTTTAGGGTCTTACGGGCAGAGTTTCAGTGTGGCTTCAGGCTTTGCAAGCTGTGTCCTAGTCACAGGCAGTCATTCGGGAAGCTGATTGGCCGTCAGAAGCCCCCGGCACCCATTCCCCGCTGATCCCAAGTTTATGATCAACCTTTCGAAAAAATGACATGACAAAAAGCCTAGCAGCAACTTTACATGGACTTTTGAAGATTAACGGGTCCAGGGCCACTCTAACCACTGCGGGCAAGGTCGCCTTGGGCTTCATCACCTCTCAAGCGAAGAACCACCACGGCTAACTTTGAGCTACCGCAGCCCATGAGACATGCAAGCTGCGTAGGCCTGCACTCTCAGAGGTATCAGGCCCCAGCTGTCATAGTTCGGCCGGCACCCGCTTCTTTTCTGTAAAAGCATGCTGCTAGAACCCCGATGAATGTAGGCATGCGCCTGACCCAGGGTCTAGAATGGCCGCGCTTCCGCCATATGCCCTCAGCTTATGAGACAATCTTTCTGGAACACACTCAGGCGCTTGCTTGGAGTAGTTCAGAGGCATCCTGCAAGGAGCTGTATTGTGTTTCAAGGTTCATGGGAGTGTAGGCTGGAGCTTTGGGCATGCATAGCCACACATCCACTTTGGGAGATCGGCTTTGGTTTGTCGGGAACATTCATGTGAGGACTTGTGCTGGTGAAATTCTTAGGCGTCATGGGATGTGCTAGGATGATTTGGTGCCCCAAAATATGGCTATAAGAGAACTTCAGAAGGGACCAGTATGGTGGACCAAAAAAAAAGGATCGGGAAAGGTGTTTGGCAACTCCGTAGTGACGCTCTGTAGGCATGCCAGAAAACCCCATGACTCAGCCCTGAACCATGTGGGCTCGCTCCTGGTCCCCAGCCAACGACAGCGCCAGCAGGATAGCAGCACAACTTTCAAAGGTGCCAGGATAGTTGTCGCAGTAATGATGATGCTATTGCTACTAACACTGCGTCTGAGTGGTAGTGGTAGTGGTAGTGGTAGTGGTGGTGGTAGCAGCAGCAGTAGGAGTAGTAGTAGTCGTCCTGGTGGTGGTGGTGG